ACAAATGTACTGGGAAACAATTATTCAGATAAGGCGCATACTTCGTCATTCGCACTGTAGATTCTGCGACTTAGAACATCATTGCGGCTCGTTTCGGTAATCAACTTCTCGCGTAGTCCATGATTTTCCAAACTGAGCTGCTCTACCTTCGCTTTCAGCGCCGATTCCCTGAGTATATAAATTTGACGCAGAGCTTCATATATGTAGTACAAACGAAACTTACGATTCACGTAGCACTTGCTTCTCTTCCAACCACACTTTGGCCTGTTCTTTTTGTTTCTGGGACAGGCTTTCAAGCTGTGCTTCTTTCTCGGTGACTGTTTGCGAAAGATGATTGTTAACCATTTCGAGGCGCAAAAGTGTTCGCTCTTCAGCCATTTCTTCATCTTGTTCGAGATTCTAAAGTACATGTTTGCGCAACGAAAAAGAAATTCGAGTACTTCGCATGTCATTCTTCTATCAAAATGGATAACATCATGTAACAAACCTGCGGTTCCGGAGCAGTATTTTCTTCCGTGCTGTCGTCGAAAAGAACGGGTATGAATGTTCGAGATGCAGGACCTGCCCCATTTTTCGGCGTACATAGAATCTGGCGTTTTTCCTTTTTCTTCTGTGCTGCAGAGTTGAGGTTACCGGTCTTTCTTTGCCCCTGATATGATCATACAGTGCCACCTCATGGAGTAAAAAAAACCAGATGGAGAACATACAGTAGTGGGGAATGTCAGGTTCAGCCTACGTAGAGGAGATGCAAGCGTCCCATCAGCTTTCTCCAAGACATTCTTATATTTTTCATGCAATGCTTTCCTCGCTGCTTCAGCGTTCTCGAAACGGACGCGCATTTGATCTAGCTGTCGCAAAGCCTAAAGCGCGAGCGTGAATAAAAGAAAACACTTATCAAGAAAGGCTAAACGAGGAAAAAACTACTGACGCAGTCACTAAAGTGTGGAAGACTGAATTCAAACTATTCTAAAATCTTACAGATAAGTCCGCTTTTTTGTCAAGGAA